CCAGACGAACATTTCGACTTGAAGGACACAACTTTATCTTTTCATAAAATAGTAATAGTTTTTCTATTGTTGATACTACTTTTAAAACTGACACATGTACCACCCATATATGTATTTGAGTCATACTTTACGTATTAATCATTATCATCGGGATTATTTCAGGTTTATAGTCTTTATCGTTTTATTAACTTTATATATTTCGTGCATAAAATGAAAATGTTTTCATGATTCAAAATATAATATTTGTATATCTACAATAAATGTATAAAGATATAAGAAAATGTAGGTACCTGTTATCCTTGAAAACAATATCTTAACTGCATTTCTTGGGCTACACGTCTGCAATAAATCACAAACGTACATATTAATATTTCTTAAACTTTAGTAAATAATACAAGATGCGATTGCTTTATTTATCGATAACTTTTGATATAATTTTTGTTACGACGATTATGCACGCATTCGGGGAAGAAGCAAACACCTTTCCTAGAGCTAATGCAGTCGGTAAGACCAATCCGAAAGAAACATTAGATGTTATAAGCATTAGTCATTTCATAATTAAATCTTATACTATAGCAGAATTTTTTTTATTTTATATATAAACGAAAAACTTTTTTTTGTAGTTTAAGCTGGAATTCAAATCCTCAGTCACCGTTGTAAGTATATGGACGAGAAGGTGTCATTATTATACATATATTAATAAAAACGTAGGATAGAGTTTTGAAAAGGTGAACCCCCGATTTTCTTGTCGCTCGACATACTACTGTATTTTGATGCCCCAATTACGTCGAGAAGGTGTCATTATTATACATATATTAATAAAAACGTAGGATAGAGTTTTGAAAAGGTGAATCCCCGATTTTCTTGTCGCTCGACATACTACTGTATTTTGATGCCCCAATTACGAATGAATTATGATTATGAAAATTGCCGACAAGATCATTTTCAAGATCATTAACACTTGTAATATATGTAGGAAGATTGTAATTATTATTTATTACTTCATAGACATATTTACCATTCTTATTCCTTAATAAAACTTTATAAACACATTTTATAAGTCATTGTGTCATCATACGCGTTTTATTTATATGCATTATTTGTAAATTTTTCATAAGCCGTACATACCTCCTCTCTCCTTCTATGAGTAGCCATATATCCCATCCCTATGGGATATGCAGCAAAAGTACAAGGTTTCAAAAAGCTTATTTTTTAATATGAAAAATAAATATTTCGAATTTCTAATATTTTTTTCATAGTAGTAGACAGTACAAAGTTTTTACTAATATAGTTCGTTTACTAAACATACTAAATAATACTTAATAAATTAAATTTTTGATAGGTGCAGCGTATATACCGGAGTTACCCTATCTCTCCTAGTAGCGATTTATTAACAATAACTGATTAAATATTCAGAATATATTGAATTAATACAGGGCCAATATTGTACGAATAAATTGTATTAACAGAGTTATACATATACATATAATTGGGAGGATCCCGTTTGCCTACAGTTCTGATTGTACACACCACTAATATCAACTGGTGCCTAGTAATTTTTTACTGTTTTGCCAATGAGATTATTTTATTTTTAAATTGGCCAATCAACGATACACGTGTGCAATATGCGATGTGTGCAATCGGAGCCCTCCCCATATAATTTGTACGTATACGTTAGATTTTTTAAACCTATTATACTTTTTGTAGGTTGTTGAACGTGCTGCGTATAAATAAAAATGTAAAAACGGGAAAAACATAATTTTCCAAATATGTTCCCAATAAACAACAACAGATTGAAATGGATTGAAATTTTATCCATCCAAATACATATTTTGAATAGCGAAAACTTTATTTGGATTCAATTGAATTCAGTTAAATTCAATTGGAAAACAATTCAAATTGAGTTAAATTTAACAGATAAATCTTTAACATCAAATTTAATTTAATTTTTAAATTGTATAATGACTTCGTATTAGTATAAAATAATGACAATATTGAGGAACAGCAGTTTAAATCAGGTCAAATTTGACACTACAAATTTAATAATAGGCCTTCTTTTTGGTTGAACTTTTGCATCAGTTCATTTTTCTTCTTCTTCTTTCCTCCTGAAGATAAAAGGAAGAAAGATGAACTGGTGCAAAAATTTAAATAAATAGAACATATCTAATGCAATTCAAATTCCGAATTTATGAATCAGTGAAATAATTCTTGCTTTGCGAAGGTTGCACGAACAATGTTCTTTTCCAGACATACAATTGTTTTCGCAATTCGCATTGATATTATCAATTATTAACGCTTCCAAGTTATAATGAATAATGGTTATTAAAATTTCCATTAAAAAAAAATCAACAGCAATATTGGTCTCATCACTAAATTTTTCAATCCATATTAGAGTTGTATACAACGGAATAACACTATAATATCTAAATGTAGAAATTTATGTAATAAATGGCTAAAGAAACAAACCCAATGCATCTGTTTACTCGAAAGATAATAATTCTGACTTAAACGACACGATTTTATCTTCTAGAAGTAGCAATGTTGCTTTTTATTTATTTATTTTTATTTATTTTAATTTATTATATTTTTATTTTTAGTTTTAAAATTATATAATTTTTAAGTATAATGTACGTATTATATTTAAAAATAATATAATTTTAAAACTATAAAAAACCTACATACGCGTAGCGTGCCATGTTCTACAATTTAATAATTTTGTGTATATAATTTGAATTTCATATAATATTTATTTTTATATCTGATACTTTTCCCGTATAAGATAACAATGTTTTGACTATGCATGTAAAATTTATGTACATATATTGAACATTATGCAATATAAAATGTAAGTACTACCGTGTTAGATACGAAAACCACGACTAGATTACATTTTTTGTGCTATATAAGCTCTACACGTCGCCGACAAATCAGAAACGTACGTACAGGTGAAAATAACTTGAACTTCAATAAATATTTAAAAATGGCAATACCATATCTATCAGTATTGGTTTTTGCTATAATTTTCGTTGTGGCGATTATGGATGCATCCGAAGCGGAAGCAAAACCTCTGCTTTCTCCAGGATCGACCTTAACTACGACGGTGGACTATCCATTATTTAATTACTCGTTTAATGTAAGCAATTTTTATAGTTAAACCTCTATAGCGTTGTAGTTAAATGCGTTTTTCCGATTTAGCAAAAGACGGAAAATTTTCTCTGTCTCTTCATCTCATATTTTTTAAAATTATTAATCGGAAATATCTTGCGTATATGTTTTAGTTATAATATAAACGGAATTATTTTTTTTTATAAGAAAGTTTGGTTTTGTGGCCATATGTAAGTTTTCCAAAAATACATTTATTAAATATTAGATATTAAAAAATCAAGAACAATTTTTATAATATATCGTTATTAATGGATAATTGTTTCTGAAAAAAGCGGCCAAGTTCGTTAGAATAGTTGCGTAAGAACAAGTTGCATTTAATATGAGAAATTATTAGACTCTCTAAAATATGGACTACAAAAATATATATACATATATATAT